CGATATGTCGTTTTCTCGGGTTCGAGTCAGCAGTCAGAGCGTAGGCATTTTTTACAACTGCCGCGACGGGGAATCGAACCCAGGAACACGGAGTCCAGTGCTCTAACCACTGAGCTATCGCGGCAGTGTATATCTATCTATCTATCTATATAAATATATATATATATATCTATATATATATATATCTATCTATATCTATATCTATATCTATCTATATCTATATCTACATCATCTACATCTACATCTACATCTATCAATCTATCTATCTATATATATATGTAAGGAAAACAGCCACAGTATGAAATTAAATTGAAACGTAACGTTTTGAACTCTTCATGAGTTCCTCTTCAGACGAATGATATACCAGACTAACAGTTATTCTTGTAGTTCCCTGATTGAAAAGTTGGAATTAAGCTGGTAATATAGACTGATGATTCATATAACCAATAGACTTACTGTCAAATAAAGAATAAGTCAATAAGTCAAGCTCTATCCTGTGAGATTATGCTTGAATGGATGTTAGTTGATCTTTATGTAACAGAAATAATTGGCACAGACGCAACCATGATCACTGTGCACACATTATACCATGTATGTGTGTAAATGCCTATTGGATGGGGATGAGATATGTTGCTAACTCAAAAGCTATAGATGTATTTTAAAAACAAACATCAGAATCGGATATATCTGTGAATCTTATTGAATAAACTCTAACACTGGTTAGAAAATTAATAGCTTCCTTGAAATGCATACTGACTAACATTTGACAGTTTGCAACAGTATTTTTAAGCAGCACAACCATTTAACTGTCTTTGGAATACAGCAGTGGAGATTCCATATCCTAGAATATGTATGATGTTTATATAATCTTAAGCCTGCACTATAAAAAATACACAAATTAATTGAAAAAATACACAAATTAATGCTTTAACACTCTTTCCAAATGTAGTATTTTCCAAATCTAGTATCGGTAATTGTTCAAAATACCTTTCCATAACCAATCATGATGTAGGATTCCTCTACCCAAAAATTTACAGAAAAATATACAATTTAAATCCCTCAAACTCCTACATCCTTTGCTCTGATAGCAGGGGTACCATGGAAATTGGGGCATACAATAACAATAACATACATAAAATATGGCACCTTGCAATCCCCCTCCCCCCCCTGATGTGTCCTGGAATGCCAGCTGCCCACACCTACCACAAACACCTTCCCTAAGAAGGAAGCTGTGGCAGTAGCATGGGTCGGTTGAGGCGTTGAAACTCACAGCAACTTCTTGCAATATGTTGAAGAGCGATAGCAAACAACTTCCTCACTCAGCCACTGTAGTGCCTATGGATGCATAACTGGTGGTCCCATGTCACTGCTGCTAAGGTCTCCATAACACATGGTTTCATTTTGTGCTTACAAATTCACTCAGCAGATGTGCTATGGTTAGTACACAATCTAGATGGGATAATTAATGCCATCTAGTGTCTGCTACTACCATACATACTCCCAATATATGTGTTTCTTCCACTCAATCATGTATCAATGCCATGCCCAGGGCTATCGACATACCCTCAGGAGCTACACATGATCTGCTGGAGAAAGTGGGTCACCAATAACTCTACTACTGGAGTACACCACATTCCAGTCAGTATTTGATTCTGACCATGTCACGGGGTTAGTACACAGCTACTCAGTACATTTTTATATCCACGTGATTCACTCATGCTCCATCGTATGTGGTGAATTCTCAATCTTCTAGGCTGGGAGGTGTGGGCAGCAGACAAGTTATGTCCTTAGTGTGTTTCATTCATATTTCATCTGACAATTTCTCTGGTACCTTTCTGGCCTCTATCAAAGCTATTGAAGCCAAGACAGTGAATATAGGAGGGTTTCTGCAGTAGAATTTAAGGATATATATATATAGAAGTGAGTGAGAGGAATCCACCGATACCACTATTATTGCAATTGGTTATGTGAAGGTATTCTATATATTTACTCTAGAATTTAATGAAAGATACTACAATACAACAAAATCTTTAAGGTTTCATATGTGCCAAGGAAATATTAAGCATAATTCAGGCAAAATATGTACAACCTTAGAACTATTAACACCATTACACTCGAACACCAATACAGAGCTTTGATACCCCATAATAACACACTCTAAATAATCCTCTCCTCCAGGGTAATCAGAATAAACCCTTCCCAACCAAAAGCGCAGAGAATGAAGCAAAATCTGACACTTTCCAATCGCGATTTCCTACTTACTATCCATGCCGGGGAAAGGCAGAAGTTGGGCTCCCACTTGCTCCTCCAACTGTGTCTCTATATCGAACGTGATTTTGTCGACGTTCGCCACTATAACCTCCATTTTCGGATCTGTTTCAACGCAATGCTACCGAGAGAAGAAAAAGAAGCCGAAAGAGGCCCCACAGCCCTCTCAAACCCTTAAAAAACTGACAGTTCCTGCCCAACTACACAAATCCGAGTCAGTCAAGTTGCTGTT